TGGGGGGGGGGGGGGGGGCACAACGCACAATTGTTGGGGAAGCATGTTGTTGGGTTGGCACGGACATCAATCCCTCGAATGGCAGCTGTCGGTCGCCGTGGGGACGCCCATGTCAAGTGCCGCTGCTGCTGCTGCTGCTGCTGCTGGTTACACCCTCACGACCTCACGACGTTTGAGCCACCGACAACATCACGAAGCCAAACCAGAGCAACGAGCACAACCAACACTTGCTCGGACAACGCGGCGCAGCTTCTACCGTTGCCACGCCGCCGCCGCCTCCGCCGCCTCCGCAACCCGCTCCTTCGTTCATAACATGACTACCCGGAAAAAATCACAAAAAAAAAAAAAAAGGCGTGTAGGAAAAGAGGGACAAAAGCTCACCCTGGCGTGAAATGCGCTCACACAAAAGATGCCCGAAAAACAAAAATTGGCGTGTGGGGAACGAGAGGTTGCAAAGCTCACCCTGGCGTGAAATGCGGGGTCCCCGCGGGCGTCATGGACGGCGTCCCCATGTAACCGCCGGCCCCACCGGCGGCGCCGCTCCCCGCAGCACCGCTGAGACGGGCCATGGTGGTGTCGAGCTGGGTGAGTTCCATCGCCTGCGACAGCTTGCTCTCGTCGAGGAGGAGGTCCATAGTCCCGGTACCGAGGTTAGCGAACTGTTAACAAAAAGGGTAAGGGGTGAGATTAGCATTGGGGGGGGGGGCTAGCTGACTTGGTGCGAGAAGGACGGAGGAAATATGATGCACACGGTTGAGACGTTTACATGGGACATGGAATGAGGGCAGCACGGTATGAGGGTAGGGGTAGTGGTAGAAATGCACCATAGTATTACAGGGTTTGAAACAACAACAACAACAACAACCGTTCCACGAAATACACTCGCCTGCCCGAGCATAATGTTGTCTGTGACCCCCTTGAGGTTGTCGGCCTCTGCAAACACCGCCGCCTCCATCAAGATCTCCACCGTCTCCTCGAACGACGACCGAAGCATCGGGCCGTTGTCCACCCGGTTGATGCCGTGTCGCGTGATGGCCATTAGGTGGCCCCGGAACGTCATGACGTCGATCAGGGTACTCAGGTGCCGGTAGTTTACGTAGGAACCATCTCTCTCCACCACGGCTCTGCGATATCGTTGGTGTGTGTGGGAGAGAAAAGCGGCGACAGAACAGAAGGCAGGATTCAGCAAGCAGCAGCAGCAGCAGCAGCAGCAGCAGCAGCAGCAGCAGCAGCAGCAGCAGAGAGAAAGACAGAAAGACAGAAAGACAGAAAGAGAGAAATGACCCACGAACACAAGTTTCGCTCACCCTGAACTGTGATTTGCGTGCATCAGCACTGAATCCGGACAGAGTTACAACGAGACAAACCCAGCTTCCCCAAGACCCGATTCCGTTTTCGCGAGTGGCCAAGAAAGGCAAGGACCGAGCAGCCCGCTCGTGCGAGCTGACAACCCCACCATTGAGACAACACAAACGTCGTTGCGACAGACAACGCCCACCACCACAGGCCACGCGCGCCTTCCCCCGCCCCAATCAACCGCCAGGGGATGGACACACCGACGGCTTGCCATCAACCGCTCGATGCCGGTGTGCATTGACAACCCCCCAACATTGAGACAGCAAAAAAACATCGATGCGACACACAACGCGAGGTCACGCACTCCTCCCGCCTCCTCCTCCTCCTCTCACCGGAACTCCTTGAGAAGAGAGCCTCTGGCGCCCTCGATCCCCAGCACCGTGCAGCACTCCACGACGTCGTTCGACACGGTGCGCCTGGGGTCGATCTGCTCCGCGCACAGCGCCGCCATGAGGTTCGTGCCGTCGGTCTCCAGCACCCACTCCTTGTGCCGCTGCGCGAACCCGTTGATCTCGTCGAACTTGGGCTTGGTAACCTCGGACATGTACACCTGAAGGGAAAGACAGAGAGTGCAACAGCGAGAACAAAACACAATGTTTTACATTGGGGAGGTCATGAATGAATCGGTGGCGAACCTGAAAGGGAAAGACAGAGAGTGTAACAGCGAGAACAAAATGTTTTACATTGGGGAGGTCATGAATGAATCGGTGGCGCACCTGAAAGGGAAAGATAGTGAAAAATACATGGGGGTCACCAATGTTTTGGTTGCGTGGGTTGAGGGCGTCCTTGATGAACATCTGGGCGTTAGTGCCTCGGGCAATACTTTCACCTTTAAGAAGAGAGAGGGTTGCGCTATGAACACGTCGATTATAGGCTACATTGGAGGGAAAGGAGGTGTTATAGTCACATGCTACCAGCCTTGGGCAATCCGCCATCGCATGACGACCAATCTCCAATCGTAAGGAAAGAGGACGGGGGAACCGGTACTTCGGAGTACTTGGAAGGTAACCACGTCGACCGCGTGTCAAAGGCAACAGGGTCGCCCTATTTAGCACGTCACAGCAGCTTGGCGACCTCAGATGTGCACACTCATCTGACAGAGTCAATCGTCGCGCAACACATCTCTGCACACCACGACACAATCCAAGCGAGCCTGGGTGAGAGCCTACGCAACGCCAAGGGAGTCGTCTCTGCAACCTCCCGGAGGGTTTCAGCGCTGAATTTCAAGTTTTTGGTAGATATCACACCACCAATATCCAACCTAACAACAACATCAACATCAGCAGCAACAGCACCACCACTACCAACAACAGCAGCAGCAGCAGCAGCATCAGCATCAGCACCAGCACCAGCACCAGCACCACCGACAACAACAACAACGGCAACAACGGCAACGACAATAGCAGCAGCGACAGCATCGGCCCACCTTCGAGATACCAGCGATACCGGACAGCTGTAGTCGGAGGAGGTTCTTCTCGAGGTGCTTGAGCATCGCAACATCGTCCGCCTCCGCCATGTCCTCCGCTTCCGGCTCCGCCTCAATCTTGTCGGGCACATCGTCCAGCACGCGTATCCGCAACACCTGAGACACAACAAAAAACACACACGGCGTTAATAACTGACAGTTGGCAATCGATTAATTTATGTACTCGATCATCCGCAGCACAACAAAGCACACACAGCTTTAATAACCGATATTGGGCGATCGATTCATTCTAGCAGTCATCATCCCTGGCGCCTCACACACAGGACAAAGCAAACCAAGCTCTAATGAACGACACTGTGCGATCGATTCATTCGACCACCCATCATCCGTAACGCCTGAGACACGACAAAACACCCAAAAGACGGATAGACGTGACTGAGGGAGGGGCTTGCACAACAAGAAACTGCTCTGTAGGTACATGTGGTCTGTGACCACGGCAATCGACTACGTCAAGTGCTAGACCAGTACACACAGATGAAGGTACGGGGCAGAGAGATCGGAACGGTTTCTAATGTCAACACAACAACAGCAACAACACGGTCTACGTTTTTAATCCACAAAAAAGAACAGGGCACGGTCTTCTCACCAACTTCTCCGAGTTCTGGTCGCTTCGGATGACGTGCAGCCCCCCGTCAAAGTAAGCGACAACCCTCTTGGCGATCTCCACAACGTCCAGACGCTTGTCGAACACAGCCTCGCGGTTGAGCTCCATGCGGAGCAGCCACGGCCTTGCTCTGACGGCGGGCGCGAGACCCAGCACACGACGAAACACACGCAAAAAACAAGAAATAACAGATATTGGTCCCACGATTACAACAAATATTGCCGTGTGCTGCCCGGGGGAAACACACGTATTAGTGCTGCCGCCAACACCATGGCTTCATTGGTCATTTATCCTGGACTCTTATCTGCGGATACAGATGCATCGTGTTATAGAGATAAAAATGAAATAAATAGCACGAGGCACGTTTGCTGAGGACACGTGGAGTTGCGGGGTGAAACCTTCGATACCACCTACGGCTTGGTTTACTGGTGCGTATTGTCACGCTACTCCTGTACCGAAGTTCCACAGAACAAGGGATGCCACAAAAATGGCATGTACCCATCGCCGCTCTTACTCACACAAGGTGGCCAAAATAGCCGTGTGCGTTGTGTTCCCGTCTGATCGCCCCGCCTCCAAACGAAACACGCACCATCATCGAAACCAAAGGCAACTCGCACGCAACGGAGCAGAATCTCCACAAGCCACACATCGAACCCCACAATGTGCAACGCAACAGGCAGCAGCACCTAAAAGCGCGCGCTAAATTAGCTACACGCACGAACGAACACGTACACGTGTACAACATAACGCGCTAAAATAGCTGTAAGCAGCAGTACGCCTACAGCAGTACCTGTCGGTGTCCTTGTCGTCTTCTTCCTCCTCCTGGATGTCGAAGTGCCCCTCCAGCAGCTCCACGTCCTCGTCCACCACAGTAGATCGAGGGTCCGGGTCGTAGTAGATCTGGGTCGACGTGGTGATGTCGCCCAGCGTCACATACTCCAGGATGTCCACCACCTGGTTGCAACGAGTGGAGTTGGTTTGATTGCAGGGAGGCCCGTTGGTTGCTGTAATAGGGAGGTCTAGCGCGAGGCTAAGGCTAAGGCTGAGGTGAGACGACCCCCACGCCTCTCCTTCGTGTCTACCTATTATAGTGCGGGCAAACAAGGCCAACAGTCTCTGTTACCGCTTCGCCGCACCAAAAAGATTACCTAGTCTGTCTGTCTCTCTCTCTTCTCTCTACATATATGTATCGCCCTCTTTGTGATCTTTTGTCCCACGTACCGAGGTACCGAGACTACCGCACAATGCCCAAAGCGAACACGCATCTACCTATCTTCACCACAACGCCACAACAAACTCACCCGCTTGGCGACCTCCTGCCCCTCCGCCTCGTCCGCCCCCGCCGCCCTTTCCTCGAGGTAGATCGTCAAGGACGGCGTCCGTACGTTCTTCGCCACGTTGATGATCTCCTTCACTCGAGGCACTCCCAGGGTAACGTTCTTCGCGCTAACACCGGCGAAGTGGAAGGTGTTGAGGGTCATCTGGGTGATGGGCTCTCCGATCGACTGGGCCGCCAGAACGCCGCACATCTCGCCGGGGCCAACCTGACGATTTATGTTTTGGGAGGGGGGGGGGGAGTTGGTCGCGGTCAGTGGCGGGGCCACATAGCACTTGGGACGATGTACATGCGATTAGGGGTCGAGTTTCAAAGCTGGACCGATATTCATGAAACGGGCTGTTAGTTGTGGTAGGTGGCGGCTGCACACAGCACTTGTGACGGTGTGCATCAAACCCATTTTGGCCATTTGGGGGCCGAGTTTTCCAGGCTTGACCGGTGTTCATGTTGCGGGAGGCGAGGGGGGTGGGTGGCGGGGGCACATAGCACTCATGACGGGTTTTACCGGACCCCATTTTTTTAGGGCGGGTTTCCAAGCTGGGTTGCTCCCCCAGGGGAAGGAGTGCTGGTGCCGCAACGAGCGGCGTTGGAAAGATGCATTTGCTCGATTGAGGCAAAATTGTTTCCTTCTTGGCGGAGGGAGGGGGGTACGCAAACTCAACCAAGGCGGGGGAGGGTACTTTCACATTCGTGATGGGCCTATCAATAGATACCTTGGAGGACATAAACTTGGCGTGGATCTCCCCAATGACGTAGTCGAAGGCCGCCTTGTTGAGGCGGTACACCATGAGCGTCCTCTTCGCCGACATCTCCGAACGAACCTGCCGCCGCGTGCACACGCGCGTCAAAACAGGACATAACAGGCGATATCATTCAGTGCAACATGCGAGAGCTGGCCAGTTCAAGAGAGGGTCGAAGCGTCCAACAGAGATAAAACATCCAAGAGACGGTGTGCCATGGAAGTAAACAATGCAGCGCCCACGATAAAAACAAAGACAAAGAAGGGTACGACGACTACACGTACCCCCGACAAGCCCCCAGCGAGATCAAGACACATACTTGGGACCCTTAACCGGTCTCTATCGGTCTCCACGAACCAACCCCGTTCCAAAACACAAAAACCACAGGGGAGATGTCCCTATATATATATATATGCTGTCTGGGAAACCGTAGACATGCAGGTACTTTCTGGCGCTATGAATTCATTGCTAATCTGTCTCAGACTCTTTTCTATGATAGAGATGGATTCGTTGTGTCATATTAAGAAAAAAAAAAAGAAAAAAAACATTGCCTAAAACCCGCGGTCCAACCACCAACCAAGCGAGCCAGCCACAGAAGCTCACCAGGATCTTGAAGAGCATGGTGGCGTTGCTCTGCGCCTCGACGGACAGCGAGTCTTCCCCCGTCACCACGGAGAGCCCCTCGCAAAGCTCTCGGACGCGCCTGATGACGTACGTCGGCGACATGTCCGACTCCCCGTAAGACTTGATCTGGAACATCTTCTGGGAGTTCCACACCAAGCGCTTGATGTTCACCGGCACCTATGGAGAGCAGTGGGGGGGGGGGGAGGTCCATGGTTCAGGGGAATTAATGGGGGGGTTGGAGCTAGCGAGGGTAGTGTTGGGAGGGCTTGGGGGGTCCGGAGTACCCGTGTGGGAAGTCTGCACGAATCGCTCGGGCAAAGAATGGGCGTGTGTGAAAAGAGGGAATCGTCCTCGACAGACGTTGGGGAGATAGCAAGTGACTCGATCGATCATGACGAGGCAGCCACCCCCTCTCTCTCTCTCTCTCTCTCTCTCTCTCTCTCTCTCTCTCTCTCTCTCTCTCTCTCTCTCTCTCTCTCTCCGCCCCTCTCCCTCCCCCCCCCCCCCCTCACCTGCGCGACGGGTGTGGCTCCCTCCTCGGGCCCCCTGGCCGCGAAGATAACGACCAGGTTCTTCTGGTCCATCCGGAGCTGCTCAAGCTCGTCCGCCAGCTCTATCCGGAGGGTCTCGTCCGTCTTCGCTTCATCCACCACCTGTTTTCAGGTAAAAAAAAATGAACAAATAGTGGGGGTCAGAAAGGTTCTCCGCCAGCGTTAAGCGGAGAATCTCACCCATCTTCTCCCACCGCCTGTTTTCGGGTAAAAAAAATGAATAAATAGTGGGGGTCAGAAAGGTTCTCCGCCAGCTCTACGCGGAGAATCTCACCCATCTTCTCCACCACCTGTTTTCGGGTAAAAAAGTAAAATAGTGGGGGGTAAGAAGCTTGTCCGCCAGCTCTGTGCGGAGAATCTCATCCATCTCCACCACCTGTTCTCAGGTATTCTAATAAAAGCGTTTGAAGTGTGGGGGCGTACTAATGTTTTGCATGCTGTAGATATAGTTGTTAGACAATTGACCACGCATCCTCGACAGGACGGAGGGGGCCAGAAGCTTGTCCGCCAGCTCAGTGCTGGGCATGTCATACTCGTCTTTTCGCCTCATCCACAACCCTGTGTATCGCGGAGAAGGGGTAAGAGATTCGAGATGTGCTTGCCGGCCAATTTTTATCGACGCTATCACGGGCACCGTTCAGAGCATGGGACACCCTTGTCGGGGGCTGGCGCTCTGTGTGGGCATTGGCCGTACGAGCAACATCCTCCTGGTGGGAAATGACAGAACTTGACTGTAGCCCCTGTAGAGATGAGCCGTGGCTGCTGGTGATCTCTCCATACACCCATCTGGCTGAAGCGGATTTCCGGTGTAGGCGTGCCTCCATGCCTCAGATATTTGCTACTTAAACAGTCTGCTTTGTGTTATAAGTGCTAACCTCTCTCGTGAGGTAGCGCTGGCCGGTGACGTGCTGGCTGAAGCCGAACTTGGCGTGGTTAACGTCGATCTCGTAAGCTTTCCGGAAGTCCTTCTTGCTCATGAGCAAGATGTCGAACCTCTGCTTCTCTACCCACACGCCGTCCATCCCGTCTTCGCCGTACAAGAACTGCACCACCTGTTTCAACGAAGAGAAAAAAGAAAGGCAAAAAAAGGACGGAAACGCAATTCTTCATCAAACACGTTCTGGGTTTCTTCCCACTCACGGTAAAGACTCCATTTCGACTACTGTGGTGTTTGTCTGGAATGGGTGAGCTCTCTTCGATTGCACAGCAGTCGTGGCTCCGTTTTAAGAGGGTGGTGTGACAGAGGCCCTCGACCCTCTTACATTAGAGCCCCCTCTGACATCGGTATAAGAGGCTACCCAAATATAGCGGGTGTAGTCCCTGGACAACCAATCTCAACCCTCTACATCGCAACCCCTCCTAGAAGGTACTCTCGTATATCCGAGCCACGACTGTATAGAAAGTTTCAAAAACACGTATTGGTGATGTTGGGGATGACTTGACTTTACATCAGCGCCCACACACACAGCGTTTATTTCTGCCTCAGAAGCTCCAATCCGCGGTCACACACCCATACCCTTCAGTGTACAAACGCAAATGTTAGGCCTGTACTCCGTAGGCGATTGCCTGATACTTTCGCTGTCGATTTTCGTTACTATACTGAAAGTAGACGCGGAGGAAAAGTCAGTGTAACTAAACCGTGAAAAAAAAACGCCTACTTGTACGGAGTTTGCTTTTACCTGGTTGTTTTGATTTCTCAGGGTGCCGTCGTACTTGGCGCTTACGGCCTCAAGGGCCTTGACCAATCGCCGTTGGATGTAGCCTGTCTCGGCCGTCTTGACCGCCGTGTCGATGAGTCCCTCTCGGCCTCCCATGGCGTGGAAGAAAAACTCCTGGAAAGACACGCCGCAAAACCGTGCGAAGGAACAAGAGCAGCAAAATAGAGAAACAGAGAGAGCGTCAGAAGGAACAACGCGTGGAAGGAGAACTCCTGAATAGACACACCAGACCGCGCGGGGAAATAAGAGAAGAAGATGACAGACCCAAACAGAGGAACCACGAGCATCAGCAACAAAAACGTGTGGGAAAAAAAGTCCTGGAATTACACACACCCTGAGCGGGAACAAGAGAAGACAGCAGCAACTGGAGAAGCAACCAGCTACAGGAACAACAAGCACGAACTTCCCTCGGGCAGGCTGTGCAAGACGAACTGCTCCTCCACGGCGGAAACAAAAAAAAACAGAACAATTCTTGAATGCGAACATGTCTTGAAAATGAATAGATCGACCGCGCCATCCGAATGACTCCTTGAACAAATCGATCCATCCTCAACGGGACGCAAAACGCGAAATCATAAATGTCAGCTCACTGCAACTGCATCCAAAACGAACCCCTCCCTCCAATACTTGCCTGCGGTGAAAGCCCTCGAAGGTATGAGTTCTCCACGAACCCTCGACTTTCCGGCCCCAAATCGTCCTGTCGCCATCGTGTCACAACACATCACAAGTGCGGGTTCGGCAATGGAGGGGGGGGGGGGAGTGATCGGTCGGTGAGGAATTAGTTGAATGTTGGGTGGGCGGGGTTGGGCAGAGTCGCACACGTGACCAATGGGTAGGCGATTGGGCGGCTCGATGTAGAGGGAGCCCCTACCTAGCCGGAGCACACCGAGAGGATCAGAGAGGATCAAGGTCCGTTGGGAGGGTACAAGCCCGCAGGTGGGACACTGTATTGTGAACCTCGCGTGAGTACATTCGACCGGTGCAAGTGCGTCTTACTAGGTAGCCGCTGCTTGTACTGGAGCGTTCGGCAGCGTGGTACCCTAACAGTAAAGGAACACAACCACCGCTCAATATGTGTCTACCTCGTGATTCCGAATTCCTCGTTTCTCTGCTCCTTCAGTCACTTGTTCTTCTCGGCAAGCGCGAGTCACTTATCGGCCCCTCCCTTAGAAAACAAAAACAACAAAAGACATCACCAGGTGCCAGACCGACTCCTCACCTTGGCGAAGTGGGGAAGCGTTCTCCGCTTGAACCCGTACGGGATTCGCTGCCCTTCCACGTTCTGCTGCCCCACGCAGGCCAGAATCTGCGAGATGTTGATGAAGGAACCCTTGGAGCCGGCGTCTGCCATCGCCTTCACGGCGTTACGCTCGTTGAGACTCACCTGGGCGGAGGTGCCGGACTCGTCTCGAGCCGTGTTCAGCACCTTTTTTTTTTTTTTCGATAGCGCCAAGATAAGGAGAAAAAACGAACAATGGGGAGCAGGAATGCCGATGAATCCAATCTGTCCGACTACTCGAGTCAAGCGAATGATTTTCAATCATCCCCAAGGAACCGAATCAATCTGACAAATCGTACCAACCTGTTGAATTTAATGAATCCGAAGAAATCTGATGAATCGAGTCAAACCTTACGAGTCAAATGAACGCCTGGAAAATCGAACCAAGCCAACCAATCGAGCCAAGATAGCCACCAGAAACAATGGCACCTACTCAATTTACCGTGATAGTTCCAGGCTGCAGCCTGGTCATACCTTGTTAATGCTGGATTCTAGACTCTCCATCATACTCTTGCCGGGCTGCATGGTGAGCTCTCCCTTCTGACCTTGCTCCACCAGCGACTGCACGTTCCTGATAAAACGTAGGGGCGAGAGGTAAGAGTCAGGACACATGGAGCTCTCTCTCCTGCCTGAATCTCCAAAGATGAGATGCCCTTGCGACCAAAGGAACTCAAAAACATGAAGCAGATAACAACCAAGCCCTCCATTCGGACATGACACGAAACCATTCGGACATGACACGAAACAACACCGGGCTGAGAAACACCTCGCGGGAAGAAGGGTGAGCGCTTGTCCAGAAGCGTTGGTTTGAAAAGCTCCTATTCAAAAACAATAGATGGGAACATTCGAGCGTGTCGCAATACAAGCGAAACACATACTTCCCATCTATGCTACCCTTCTATCTGGGGAGTCCGCAGACTAGTCGCAGACTAGAAATGACGTTCGCGTTTAGTTCTCGGTACTGCAAGACGAGAGCTTTTGTGCTCATTGTCTCGCGCCTTTGTCATTTGATCTGCCGGTTACATAGCGCGGTCGGTGCTGATCAATCAAATAATCAGACGTTTGGTCGACATCGCGATTTTGGTTGGCTTGTGCTTGTGCACAGCGCCTTGGAGGTCTTGGTTAGACTAGTTTTTCTTTTGACTTTTTGGCACTGCTCAGGATCCAAGCCGTCATACGTAGATTTTCTTTGAGTTTTTGGATCTAACTATATTCAGGATCCAAACCATCATGCCGCCAACGAACGCGCCTCTTGGCCGTGTCGATGATGCCCCCGATGGTCATGATCGTCTCCGTGTCTGCCACCGTGTCCGCCACCCCGATGCTGAACGAAGTCACCACCAGCCAGTTGTTCACCAGCTTCTGGATCTGCAATTGGCACAGCACGTTGTGTTCGTTCGCTGCGTAAAACAGCAACACACACATCTTTTCGCGTCTTTATACTGTAGGCAGAATTTCTCGAAGCCCTGCTTCGATCTCGCGGAGTTGGACATACGTCTCACCCCCCCCCCCCCCCCCGCCAAAACAAGTAAAATACATAAAAATAAGACTCGATATAAGTCCAATATCCAGCCCTTTTTTCTCCGACTCACCGCAAAGGCCTAAACACATCCCCTTGGACAGCAGTTGGTACAGCAGTATTATCTCGAGAGTACAAGGCCTCTCTGTGATTGTGTATAAAAAAAAAAATACAACTTTGGATAGTACTGAATACACAAATGTTCACCATGTTCATGAAGAGGCGGGTAACGTCCCAGCCCTTCTCCAGCCACGAGACGTGGATCAGTCCCTGAGCGCCGCTTCCCACCGTCTTCTTGTCGATGTTGCCCATCATCAGCTCTCCCTCGTGGATCAACACCTAAAGAAATCAGCAAGCACCGTTTTACGAGAGAGCGGCCTTGAAAATGGGGGACTGGAGATACAGCAGTCGAAGTGCCAAGCACGCCATGCTCGTTCCATTGGTCGGCGGGGCCATGTGTAAGGGGAGGGGCAGAGAAAACCAATAAGAAAATACAAAATAGATTACTTGACGAAGCCCCCAAGGATATTCCAGACGTTCACAAAACAAACACGCTCAAAGACAACACAAAGTTCCTTGGGCGGTATACCCCCCCCCCCCTCCGCTTTACCAACATCCTGCACCGTCACTCACGGTGCCTACCTCCACAATTCGATCTTGACATCTATGTGAATAGAAGAACTCTGACGACGGGTTACACAGATCATGTACGCGTGTATCATCACCACAACGTCTGCCGGTTAAATCTCTCGAGCACTGCAGGTCGTTGGCAACAACTGCAACCCCGTTTCGGCAGAGCTATGTTGTACCCATGCCATGCCACGCCATGCCATGCCTACCTTCGTGTCGGAGTTGTTGAGAGGGTTGGCGCCCTTCGGATGCCCGTTCGCCGAAGTCTCCAAGTTGACCTGGGCAAACAAAAGCACGAGAACAAATCGACCGCACGCTCTTCGATGAGAATTATTGCGGAAAAGAGAAGAATCAATCAAGTGCCCATGGACACAGAAGGCTTCGCCGTTCCACATGGGCTAAAGGTTATTCCGCATGACAGAGAGAGAGGGACTGATCCACCACTCGAGGCACTCAACAAGTGCCCCACCCCAAACCAAAAACAGAACAGGGTGTTTCCCAACAATAGCAGCAGCAGCAGCAGCAGCAGCCCCAACAGCTACACTGCTGAAAATGTAGAATCCCCCCCCCCCCTCCCACTTTTCCAGTCCGCGAGCCGTGCACCTTCGGGCAGATGAGGCTGAACAGCTGCTTCCCCGTCCACAGCGGTTTCGGTTTCAGGATCGCCGGGGCGGGTACCTTCCCGTCCCACGTCTCCACCCACATGAGCAGGTTCATGAGGAGATCTCTCTCCACAAAGGTGTCCCGCTTGGTCATCTTGCAGACGCCCAGTAGGGAATCCTGTCGCACCGAGTGGGGCACGCGGCGGCGATCGGGGGGGGGGGGGGGTTCCCCAAACCCCGGAAAAAATTGGGGGAGCTCCCCTAGTGAATTTTGAAAGGGCGACGACCGAGGGTACAACGCCCACAGCGGGAGCAGCAACAACAAACGCCAAGACAACCAATCGCGAGGGAAAGCAAAAACCATCCCAACCGGGGGGGAAAAAGAAAAAAAAAAAACC